TTCGGTCGTGACTGCGCCTGCATCCGGCAGCTCAGGCTCGAGCTTTCTGAGCGTCACTGTGGGAGCTAGGAGCCTGCAGGGCCTCGCCTCTGCCGGCACCGTCACGGGAGGCTTCAGCTTCGACGGGCCTGCGTTTGGTTTACCGGAATGGAGGCTGCGCAACTTGGGCGAGGACTCCTCGATCATCATCAGCATGCTCGGGACGAGCTTTGGGCGGTGGGATGCGTCTGTGCAAGGGAAAATAGCAAACACTGCGGCCCAGAGCACTGTGTGGACGTCAGAGTGGCAGGGAGGGTGAGGAGAGGAGAGGAGAGGTGAGGAGAGGAGTGGAGTGGAGAGGAGAGGAGAGGAGAGCAAGGGAGCGCAGCTACCGAGAAAGAAGCATTCCCAGAATCGGAGCCAAGGGACGAGTCAAGAGCATCAGGATGCGTCTTGCTGTCAGTCTGCGTGTGACAAGCAGGGGCTGAGCGACAGCTCGTCTCCTCCTCGACCTCCAAGGGGTTTCCTCGCTCCTCCTGTATCTGCGGAGATACTTCGCTTTCCTGCAGTGACTCTTCTCGTGGATAAGCCGGAAGAGGAGGAGGTGGAGGAGGAGGAGGAGGAGGAGGAGACGACGAGAGCGTCTTGCGAGGAGTCTCGGGAGGAGGATACTTTGGAGGAGAAGAGAGAAGAGAAGAGGGGGCAGGGTTGTTGGGGTTGCTTGCGTTGATCGCTTGACTTCTCTTCTTCTCCTCACTATCCAGCAAGACAAGTGAGCTTGCTTCAGACAGGAAAACAAGAGCACGCACCTCAATGCGTTCGCTTTCTCCTCTCTTCCATTCTTTGCTTCTACTTCCTCCCTTGCAGCGCGAACATGATCTGCTCTACCTGCTCTACCTGCTCTACTGTCTTCGCTTCCTTTCGACCTTCCCATCGTGATCTGCAGCACAAGTCAGCAGAATCATACAACCTCCTCGTCGTCTCGGAAGTCAAAGATGCGGTGAAGAGGACGAATGCCTTGCTGAGCATAGACAGCTTGCTCAAGCCGACGTTTCGCTCTTGTTTGCTCTGCTCCATGACTCTCGGACTCGACTGCTTGCTTGAGTGAGGAGCAGCCGACGACATGCTGAGAGTGGAGGCAGGAGAGGAAGACAAGCAGAGAGAGGCAAGTGAAAGAGAGGGGAGGAATCACTTTCACAGCTGGCAAGTGCGAGAGATGATAACTGACACAACATCTGTCATCCACTGCCTTTCCCTCTCCCCTTCTCCTCCTTCACCGATTCATGAACCCGGCGTCTTCTCGCTGCACGCTCCCGTCGTTCCACTCGATGTCACACTTGTATCCAAGCGGCGTCTCGATCACCGACAAGAGTTTTCCTGCAGCCCATGAGGCTCAAGCGAGCGACGATGGCCAGGAGGAAGGCAGGAGGAAGGAGTTGGAACCTTTTCGCATGACCGTGTGAAGGTCGATGATCGACTTAGACTTGAGGAAGGCTTCCGAGAACTCAACCTGGCTGACTCAACGGCCATGCACGACTGGACCCTCCCAAGCACCTCCATGCCGATGACTGGTGGCACATCTCGCCCAATCAAACATTCATCATCAAAGGAAACGCTTTCATTGCTTGACTGCGCGCTCGTGAGGACAAGGTAAAGAGCATGAAGCATCACCAGCTGCTGACTACTGCTCCTCTGCTTCGCGTCATCCGCATTCGCATTCTTCTCCATCATCTGCATCTCAATCAACAAGGTTCGATCGCTCTCAAACGTCTCTCTTGTCCTCTAGGGATCTTGCCGTCAAACGACTCACTTCTTCGCTCGCCTTGTCATCTCTTCTTGACCCCCTTCATCTTCCTATTGCTTCCTCTCCCTTCTTCTCTTTCCCAGCCTCCGGTATTTCTCCGCTCTACAGAATCCCCGCCCCCTCCCCCTTCCTTCGAACATAAACTCTCCTCTACCCTAACCTCCTGTACCGCTCTTCCTCTACCCTCCTCTACCTCTCGTCCTCTATCGCTCTTCCTCTACCCTCCTCTACCTCTCGTCCTCTATCGCTCTTCTTCTACCCTCCTCTACCTCTCGTCCTCTATCGCTCTTCCTCTACCCTCCTCTACATCTCTTCCCTTATCGCTCTTCCTCTACCCTCCTCTACCTCTCTTCCCTTATCGCTCTTCTTCTACCCTCCTCTACCGCTCTCCCTTACCCTCCCTCCTCTCCTTGCTGCTACCTAATTGAAATTGACTAGCGACGGTCGGCGAGGTTCCATCGACAAGGGGTGGTTTTGATGATCAATGAGGGGGTAGGGGGTACAAGACATGCAGACGCACAGGCACGGCAAAAGTGCACAGAACAGTGCGACCATGCAGTACGAAATCCTTCCTGTCCCCTCCTCTAGCACATCCTTCCTCTCTCCTCCTCTAGCACATCCTTCCTCTCCCCTCCTCTAGCACATCCTTCCTCTCTCCTCCTCTAGCACATCCTTCCTCTCTCCTCCTCTAGCACATCCTTCCTCTCTCCTCCTCTAGCACATCCTTCCTCTCCCCTCCTCTAGCACATCCTTCCTCTCCCCTCCTCTAGCACATCCTTCCTCTCTCCTCCTCTAGCACATCCTTCCTCTCTCCTCCTCTAGCACATCCTTCCTGTCCCCTCCTCCAGCACATCCTTCCTCTCTCTCTGATCATTGAGAACAGCCGGGAGACATCTGTGTCCCGCAAGCTATAATCAAGACTCAGGCAGAGATGGGCGGGGAACGACACTGAGAGACACAGGCAGGAATGCAGGATGGCAAACAATTGTGTGGGGGCATCGTGTCTATTGTCTCGGCCTCCTCTTGCCCTCGTTCGCCTTCTCTTCCCTGTAGTTCCACTTTCAATCGATCGCATCGTCTCAAGATCTCTGGCTTTATCGAATGAGACGAAAAGGATTCAGGAAAATTGCGTTGCAACCAATCATAATCTGAGTGAGCTTGACCTCAAACACTTGAGAGTCCTGGGCAACAAAGCCACACAAAAAAAAACAGCAAGCAGCGATGAAGTGTGGTAACTGTGAATATGTCCTGCTGCTGACTCTGGGTCCTTCACTTATGCAGTCGCTCGTCATCTACAAAGCATGTCCTCCATTTCTTGCTCTTGTATGTGTGCGTGAGCTCCTGCATTCAGCCATCAGAACATGTCTTTGAGCCTTCATACACGTACCTCTCCCTCCTTGATGTCTTTGATCGCAAAAATTTCAAACCTGATAAAAACAAGTCAAAGTGTTACATGCGCCTTTCATAGTCCATATCTCTTGATAGACCTGTCCTCGTCAAAAAATCTCTTCATTGACGTGTTGGGATCGTAAGAAGTGTTATAGAATGTGGCACACCCCGACCCTGCCATATAAATTACGTCATCCTGATACAGTGACCAATCGAAAGATTCTACCTATGGCCCAGACATGATTAGGCACATCGTCGCTCCAGGTGAAGACATAGGGGTTCTTCATCCCATCAAGCCCTGGAATTCTCCGCACAATTCCTCGTTCGACCAGCTCGCCTTGTTTGATGTCGCAAGCAGCAAAAGCGCCATCACCGCCATGGTTGTCACCCTTAACGATCACTTTGCTGCAGAAGATCTTGCTCCCGTTGTCCTTGAATGAGGAAAACTGTCGTCGACACGCCTGTCTCACCGCCGGCATGCACATCTTCGCTGTCCTGGCCAACATGGCGCTACAATACCTGGGGAGTAGATGTGACTGGAGGAGGGAGGAGGGGTGATTTAAAGGGTAAGAGGAGGGGTACTCAACCCCTGGTGGAACTGGGACGCACGTGAACTATCATCCCCCTCCTTCCCATCCGGCCCGGGCCTGCCCCAGCGCCCGTCCAAGTAACTGAAAGGTTCAGTCAATAAAAGCTGTAGAAAGGATCTGAGCCCGCCCCATCGCTTTCGCCATGTGGAGGCTGCAGGATCAATGGCAGGATCAAAGGAACGAAAGGAAGAGAAGAGAAGAGAAGAGAAGAGAAGAGAAGAAGATGAAGAGAAGAAGAAGAAGAGAAGAGAAAGAGAAGAGAAGAGAAGAAGAAGAGAAGAAGAGAAGAAGAGAAGAAGAAGAGAAGAGAAGAAGAAGAGAAGAGAAGAGAAGAGAAGAGAAGAGAAGAAGAAGAAGAGAAGAAGAGAAAAAGAAGAGAAGAAGAGGAGAAGAAGAGAAGAAGAGGAGAAGAAGGGAAGAGAAGAGAAGAAGAGAAAAAGAGAAAAAGAAGAGAAGAGAAGAGAAGAGAGAAGAAGAGAAGAAGAGAAGAAAGAGAAACAGCGGAGAAGGAAGAAGAAGAAGGAGAAAGGAGAAACAGAAGGTGGCAGAGAACTAGAGAACAAGCGAGGGAAAGAAGGGATCTCAAGACAGGAAAAAGGAAAGAGGAAAGAGGAGACATGCAGAGACCGATGGATAGATAGGAAGTTGTATAGACAGCAACAGGAACACTGAAACAGCAAGAGCCAGTAAGAAAGGGTGGGGAGAGGGGCATTCGTTTGTCAAGGTGAACATACTGGCAGCAGGACGTTTATGCACATCCGTTGGAATTTGCAAGGTTGATATCTAAGGATGATGTCGACGATCCGAAACGTCAGACTGACGGGAGATGTGAGCGAGTACTCGTGTTGCCTTGTGTGGTGGTTGATGGCAAGCAGATGCTGCACTTATGGAGCTATCCTATGCTCTTCATTGCGCTTGGGAACCCTCGTCCTCTCAAACTCGGTAACTGCTGAAGAGAGAGGATGATAGGATGATGACATGCATCAAGGTGTGTCGACGAACTCTCAGATGTTGTTTTTTGTCGCTCTTTTGTTGAGGTGAGATCGTTCGATAATGTGCAGCAGAATCGAATGTCTTGGCAGATACTTCATCATCCTGCTCGACACAAGCGATCTCGTTGAGGTACCATGTCGCTCCACTTCTTGTCTGGTCCATGCTCTACAGGCTGACACGTCACCTCAGGCCGTCAAGTTTTTCTGGGTGCAACGCAAGCTGTCGCTGAACACGTTGGTATCGATGTACAGGTCAACTTTGTGCTGTAAAGCCCCCGGAGCTGAAAGGTGGATGCAGGAAGTCCAACGGCGTCTACGTCTTCCTGCTCAAGGCTCTTCCGCTTCTGGGATCTGCCTGCGCTGTCATCAAATGTTTCTTCTCCCCAATCCACAGGTGATGCGACTGCTCGCCTCCTCAGGCTGACAGAGGCTGAAGAGATCGGCGAGACTCCATGCACTGGATGCAAGTCCTGGTGCCCTGTGTGATGGCATCAAGTAGCGGGAGGTGGCGGTTGCCTCAAATATGACAGTCACTCAGTTGTTTTCCACTTCGCTACGCAGACAAAGATCTCTGAAAGTCCGTGGGAGGTCAGCGATGTTTCTCGTCATCTCGTCTTCTCAACTCCTTCAGGATGTTCCTCCCGTCTTGTCTCGCGCCTCCTTCTTCATCGAAGCCTTCGCGATTGTCCCGCAGCTCTGGATGCAGCATGCTCCTCTGCCAAGGTTCGCTCTTCTCTCACTTGCAAGCGAGTTAGGAGCAGCAGGGATGTGGAGACCGCGGACAGCCTCGCGCTTGAGCTGCACCTTGTTTCTAGGGGAACCTTCAGAGCAGGTGGAGGAGGGCGGTGAACAAAAGAGAGAGGCGCAAGCCTTGGGAAGGAGGAGGAGGAGGAGGAGGAGGAGGAGGAGGAACTGATTGACTGATCTAGTTTATGCCATTTCATGGCTGTACAAGGCTATTAGAAAGGGCGAGAAGCTTCACGGCCTGTCTGAGGTTTCGCATCTGACCGGTTTGCTCCAAGTCTTTATCTACTCGGATCTCTTCGCCGCCTTCCTCCGCAAGCGCTTCAAGTTTGCTCTCCTTGCTGGGTTCCTCCTCTACTTCCTCCTCCTGCACGCAAGCTCGCTCCTCTTCCTCCAACTCGTCCTCAGCAGCATGCTGGCAGCCGTACTCCTCTCGCTGGTATGCCTCCTGTCTGATAACTTGCACTCACTCTCTGCAGCTCACAGGTGGGCTCACGTACCTCCAGTGCGTCCTCCTCTTCGTCTTGGCTCAGCTCTACCGCGCTGGCATTCTCACCCTGCGCTCCCCCTTTGCGGACGTCTGACAAAGCGAGATAGAGGCGAAGCAAGTTATTATTTCAAGAATGTTCACATCCTCCTCCACTTTCTCCATCGCTCCTCCCAATCCTATTCTTCATCCTCCCTCTTCTCTTCGTCTCGTTGCTTCTTCCATTGCGCAAAGGCTTCTTCTCCAAGCTCAACTGCTCGCGTGTGCGCGTCTCCCTTGAGCTTTCTCCGCCATCTCGTCCTTTCCTTCAACCCTCCGAAGCACACGAGAAGCCTGCTTCGCTTGCTGCTTGCCATGAGGATACGGAGAGCAGCGGAGACACGGAGCCATTCGCTAGTGAAGGTTTCCAACAGAGCCAGCCTCTGACATCGCCCCATCTCCTCTATCCTCATCCGGATTCGCTTCCTCCTCTCAGCCTCAGCTCTCCATGTCACCACGAAGAGCGTCAAGTTGAATCCTCTTCTCTCCAAGAACAGGCAGGCCTTGAATCCTTCTAGCGCCGACTTGACCCGCCTCCTCCTGCTCGCCCGCACGAGCTCCAACACTGTCTCTCGCTGCTCCTCAAGCGTGTCTCGCCATGCGTCCAGCGTCGATCGCAGCAGCTCTAACCCGCGCGAGTCACTCAACTCAGTACCGAGAAGATCTGCCGCCTTGCGCTGCTGCTTCTGCAGCATCAGCCTCACCTTCTCCTCATCCCATCCCATCAAGCAGCGAGCAAGCACACGTCTGCGATGGCTCGCAGCTACTGAGCTTGCGTGCTCGCGCAACGCTCTTCGGACGCGAGCGCGATCAGCCAAGGCCGACAGAGCTCGCAGAGAGACGGCATGCTGCTGCTTGGCTCTAAGACAAGCGACGGACGAGAGGCGAGCCCAAGCTCTCAAGTGACTGGCGGCGAGACGACGTACGCGCATGGTGGCGACGGCGATGCCGTTATGAACGGCAAGCTGACGCCTGCGCACAGTCGAGATCCACTTGGACAGGGCGGCCGAGAGCTTCATGGTGAGCAGCACCGACAGCACGCCTCGAGCACGCTTCTTCTCCCATCCTACCGACTTGGCAAGGTCACTCCACCGGCGAACGAGACGCGACACGCGAAGCAGCACACGGAGCTGGCAGACCCGAGCAGCCACCTGACTGGGGGCGTCAGGTGCCCTCACTAGCATGCCGGGCGAGACTTTTCGGCTCCACATGTCCATCGCCAGCTCGTACACTCTCAGCTCGCCCTGCCGGCATCGCACCGTCGCCATCCAGCCGCGCCAGCAGCTACTCACCTCCCGCCGCCAGACCAACCTCCTCAGCTGCTGGCTCCTCCCAGCCTTGACCCTCCACCTCTCCCGCCAACCCGCAAGACATCGGCGCTCCATGCTGAGCTTGCGATGCCACACGAAGACACGGGAGGCTCGCTGCTGATAGCACAAGTCTCTCCACAGATCAAGCGCCCTGCTGCTTGTTGTCAACGCCGCCAACACTCTTGCTCGCTGCCAGGCTTCCTGCAACCACACAAACTGAGCTGCCTGATCGACGTCACCATGACTGGCTTGCACGGCTTCCAAGCACAGGTCAGAGGCGAGGTTGCCACCAGCTCTCTCACTGAGACTGCTCATCTTCTTCTCCTCATCGACCTTGTTGGCGTAAGCTACCGCCTTCTTCACGTCTCCCTCGCACTTGGTCAGAAACAGCGAAGCAAACATCTTCATCTCTTCCGTCACTTGCGAGCAGAACTCTCGCGTCTTCCTCCAGCACACGAGCCAACTCCAGGCAGCAATGGCTGCAGCCTTCAAGCCTCTACTCTGATTGTCCGCTATCCTCCTCTCAATCGTTGGGAAAGCGACGCTTTGGTAGAGCTTCACGTCAACATGCCGCTTCCACCTATGCACAAGCCATGTCCGCAGCAAGGCAGAGTCTCTAGTTCTGACTGAGATGTCAACCGCATCCTTCAACCATCTCTTGTGCTGCTTGTAGTGCGTCCAGCGAGAAAGATGTTGAGACAGGGATTTGAAGTATCGGCTCTCTTCAAGCTCTAGCATCCAACTCTTCATTCTCAGCTTCCACTTGCACTGCATTCTCCATTCCCAGAAATGTACAGCCATATCAATGAACAGGGATTGCTCATTGAGTTCAAGCTCATTCTTCAATGAGTGAAGGTTGACGCTTCGAAGTTTCCGCCAGCAGCTCATGGCCGTGAACATCTGGTAGAAGGTGTGTTGGTCTTGGAGCGCAGCTTGCTTCAAGGACAAATCGCATTCTCTCTCTCGCACCATTTTAAGCGCGTGTATCACTTTGAATTTGCTCCGCTTGGCGAAGTGAGAACAAGCCAACTCGGTCTTCTCGGCCTCGTGAGCGATCAAGATCGCTTCTCCGGCATCTCCCATCGCGTGCTGCAGCAAGCTTGCTGCCATGGCTTCGCTCACTCCAACGGCCTTGCTGATCCTCTCAACGTCTTCAGCTTGTTTGCGGCGGATGGCGACTTCAACATCTCCGTGGCATCTTCTGAGAAGCTGGAGAACCTCAGCGTCTTGCTGGTGCTGCGTCGTCGCCGCCTTGACTTGCATTACCAGACACTCGAGAGAGAGCTGATGCACCAGCGACCATGCCGACAAGAACCGAGAAAGAGACTGAAGCCGGGCGACCTCCAAGCACTTGCCCTTCCTCTGCTCAAGGAAAGAGTTCCTGCTGAAACACTCCAACGACTTGCGACAGCTCGCGCGAAGTCTTCTGTTGGTCGCGAGTCTCAGGCGACGCTGCAGGCTGGCGATACGCAAAGCGGCTGAATTCCATTGAAGGAAGACATGCAGCAGAAACTTCTCCTGGCGCTCATTCACCCGCTGAGCGTTTCTTGACGCCCTCTTGGTCACCCGCCACCACAAGTCGACCGCGAGCTGCAAGAGCTGCAAGTCTTTGTCTTGCCGGAGATGAGCTACACATCGAGTCACGATAGACAACATGCTCCAAGCCTGCAGGCAGCCTGTTGCCAACGACCTAGCTCGTTCTGAAGTGAGAGTAGAAACAGTCGCCTCGAGATCCTTTCGTCGATCGTGTTCGCGTTTTAGGCACAAGAAAGAAAGCCTCTGGTTGTCTCTGTCAAGCTTGCACCTGCCGTCACTAACCATCTTGCTGAGGGCCTTATCTCTCTTCTGAGATTCAACCCATGCACAGAAAGACGAGCACAAAGCCCTTCTGTTCAGCAACGTCACGCTCCTCTGCATCTCGGTCAGACTGACCCCGCACTCCAAGGATTCGTCGCCATCCGCATAAGCGATGTGATGAGACGAAACCATGTCTCGAGCGCCAATCAATTCAAGATCAATTGCATCATAGTGAAACATGTCATTAGGGGGGTTGGCTGCCATGCCATGTCTCTCCATGTCTTCCATGCCATGTCTCGCCATGCCCTCCATGCCATGTCTCTCCATGTCTTCCATGCCATGTCTCGCCATGTCTTCCATGCCATGTCTCTCCATGTCTTCCATGCCATGTCTCGCCATGCCCTCCATGCCATGTCTCTCCATGTCCTCCATGCCATGTCTCTCCATGTCTTCCATGCCATGTCTCTCCATGTCTTCCATGCCATGTCTCGCCATGTCTTCCATGCCATGTCTCGCCATGCCCTCCATGCCATGTCTCGCCATGCCCTCCATGCCATGTCTCTCCATGTCTTCCATGCCATGTCTCTCCATGTCTTCCATGCCATGTCTCTCCATGTCTTCCATGCCATGTCTCTCCATGTCTTCCATGCCATGTCTCTCCATGTCTTCCATGCCATGTCTCTCCATGTCTTCCATGCCATGTCTCTCCATGTCTTCCATGCCATGTCTCTCCATGTCTTCCATGCCATGTCTCTCCATGTCTTCCATGCCATGTCTCTCCATGTCATCCAGGTCTTGAAGGTTCTGCATCTTGCTGTGGATCAGCGAATGGTAGTCGATGGAAGGAAGCTCTGCATCATTCTCATCCTCTAGATCCCCCGGGCTCGCTGGTAGCAAGGAAGAGGAAGGCACGGAGGTCTCAAACTTGCAGGAGATGAGCGAAGCATAGTCGATCATGCAAGGAGGGCTCTCTATGCTGTTGTCTCCGGCATCCAGCAACGGCGACGCAGACGCACCAGGAGCTCTGAGCGCGAGTTTCTCTCTGTTGGGAGCCAGGAGACAAGCGTAATCGATCAGAGGCACTGCCGTCCCTGCACTGACATCCTGCCTTTCCATGTCCTCGTGAACTTTCAAACTTGGAGGAGAAAACTGATCGGGTTCACGCTCGCACGCACTCAAGGGCGATCTAGATGCAGCATCCGCGCTATCATCATGCGCGAGGTCTTCAGCTGCATGCCTGCACGTTGCGAGCTCCTGGTGCAAGGTCTTGATCGACTTACATCCCTCCAGCACTTCTTCTTGAAGCGCAGCAGGACGAGCGTCTTGGATCCTCCTCGCCTTGGCATACATGCTTCTCTTCCCCTGTTGCTGCCCTGAAGCCTCCACGTCGTCGCCCCCATTTTCACAGAACTCTTCCCATCTTCGGAAGTACAACCTGACGATGCATAGCAACAAGCTGTTCCTCAACTTGATCTCTGCCTCAGAGGTTTGTCGCTCTTTGTGTCTCTGTTCCGAGCTTTCAAGATGCAAAGGAGGGGTTGCGACCTCTACGGATTTGTTTGCATTCCTTCCAGCATGTTCCACTTCATGTGCAAACATAAGCGGCAACCCTGTGAAATCCAGGAAGCGAGAAGCCACCTGTCTGATCTTTCCGGCGAAGTCCCCTTCCTTCTCTCTTGGAGAGGAAGGAGGAGACTGATACGTCAGCAGGGAGCTCTGCAGGATGTTCGTCAGGTCGCTTTCAGGGTCTTCGCGTTTCATCGTGTCCAGGAGGTCAACGAGTAGCAGCGAGTCGCTCGTCCTTCCTTCCCTCCTCCTCTCCTCCCTCCTCCTCGCCCTCCATGGCGAATTAACGGTGACCTCCAGGTGACTACGGGTATCCTTGATCGTCAATCAACATTTGAAATTCTTAGAGAAATATTTGAAATTTCGGGAGAAGTAATGGGGCCCAGGCGGCCGGCCCCGCCCCTTTTCGAAGATTTCAAAGTTTTCGCATCTGTATTTCACTACGGCAGGATCTCAGTGCTATAACTGAACGTAACGGTTGATCCCCCGGCCCCGGCCCGGCGACCCGGTGGCACTGCACCGTCCGACGGTCAGTCGCAGCCCGGCACTGGCATCCTACGAGTAAAAGAGCCGTAGTCTCGCACAGCAGTATACCCTCCCCCCCCCCGACGGGTGCCATGAAGATAGCAGTCTTCATGGTTACTGAGCCGCAGATTACTTCAAGTTTCGGTTACATGGAGCGCAGCCTGGTTACTTTCATGTTGCGGATTTACTGGCAGAAGGTAAAAAGTGCCTCAAGCAAAACAAAGCAGGAACAAGCTAAACCTCCTGGCACACAGCGCACTTTCGGTCTCGGCGGCGGCCACCTACCAGCGCCTTACTATGCAGCTCGCTGGAGGCATTCCTGTCTGGTGCGAGGCGCATGAGGCTCCAGGCACAGTTTTACTCGCCGCGCACTGGCAAGGTAAAAAACGCCTCAACCTGAAACCTCGAGCAAGCCGGTTCAGCTTGTTCCTGCTTTGTTTTGCTTGAGGCACTTTTTACCTTCTGCCAGTAAATCATACCAGATGAAGCGGAGGGTGTCAGGATAATGGCCAGGAAGGATGCAGAGTCACTAGTACCGTCCCTTAGACGCGATACCCAGAGGCATCCGACTGACCAATGCTGCTGGTCCGAGCTCGCCTGCCTCCGATGCCGCACCGTGACAGCCCAGGTCCCTTGGAGGTTAGCGAGGAGGACTACCTCGAGCCGCGGTACCGTGTTCCTGTGTCCAGCCTCCCTCCGTCCGCTGCCCCAGGCGGACCCCCGGGCAACGCCGGCTCCTTGTCGGCGGCCGGCGGCTGCCCGTCCGCGGCCGCCAGCTTTGTGGCCGTCCGCCGGCCGTTCTCCGTCCGCCGGCCGCGGACGGAGAAAGGGCAGCTTTCTCCGTCCGCGGCCGCCCCCGGGCAACGCCGGCTTATGTTTTGTGTGTGTTTTGTGCAGCTTCTCGATACCCGGAGGCAGCCGACTGACCACTGTCAGTCGAGACGTCCGCTGCCGCCACAAAGCGGGCGGCCGCGGACGGAGAAAGGGCAGCCGCCGACAAGGAGCCGGCGTTGCCCGGGGGTCCGCCTGGGGCAGCGGACGGAGGGAGGCTGGACACAGGAACAGCTGGCGATGCCGCGTCTGGGTGCCAGCAGTGCTGGTTCTTTTCGGGCTTGTGTTTTGTGTGTGATTGTGCAGCTTCTCGCTGTGGACTGTGTGCCAGGAGGTTCAGCTTGTTCCTGCTTTGTTTTGCTTGAGGCACTTTTTACCTTCTGCCAGTAAATCCTATCTCCATCGGAACACGGTACCGCTCGAGGTAGTCCTCCTCGCTAGCCTCCGAGTCAGCGGTAGCCGAGTCAGCGGGAGCCGCCCGTGACGTTGCACGGGGGTCCGGTCGAGGCACTTTTTCCCTCCCGGCCAGGGTCGCGCCTGGCTGTAGCCCGAGTGGGGGGAGTGTGTCTGGACTGTGCGGGCGAGGCCGAGGGCCCATCTTTACCAATGCCGATCCTGCGCCGACTTCAAGTTGGCGGTCGCCATTGCTCACCGGGCGGAAGCTTGGTGGTAAATCCTATGCGACTGGTGGACTTGGGTGATGATGCGAGGCGGAACGCCACAGGCTGGAAACAGAGCAAGGAAAAGTCTCCGCCGTCATCAGTGAAGCGATCACGTGGGTGAATTGGGGGGCGGATCACCCGGAGCCCGCGTGAGGCATAGGATTTACTGGCAGAAGGTAAAAAGTGCCTCAAGCAAAACAGAGATGCTAGGATGGGACAGGCACGTGCAATGTTTGCTTGTGCGCTGTGTGCCAGGAGGTTTAGCTTGATCCTGCTTTGTTTTGCTTGAGGCACTTTTTACCTTCTGCCAGTAAATCCTATACCCCCCTTTCTTCGTCCGCGGCCGCCCGCTTTGTGGCGGCAGCGGACGTCTCGACTGACAGTGGTCAGTCGGCTGCCTCCGGGTATCGCGTGTAAGGGATTTTCTTCCTCCTGCATGCTCCTGCTGCTTGTTGCTTGATTGCCTGACCCTTAGGCTGCTTGTCTGCTTGAGGCGCTTTTTACCTTCTGCCAGTAAATCCACTACTACTGCTTGTCTGCGCGGCTTCGCGCTTGGGCTGGCGCTGCCGGGTCTGGTTGCCAGCAGTGCTGGTTCTTTTCGGGCTTGTGTTTTGTGTGTGATTGTGCAGCTCCTCGCTGTGCGCTGTGTGCCAGGAGTTTTAGCTTGATCCTGCTTTGTTTTGCTTGAGGCACTTTTTACCTTCTGCCAGTGTCCAGCCTCCCTCCGTCCGCTGCCCCCTGAGGCGGACCCCCGGGCAACGCCGGCTCCTTGTCGGCGGCTGCCCTTTCTCCGTCCGCGGCCCGCCCGCTTTGTGGCGGCAGCGGACGTCTCGACTGACAGTGGTCAGTCGGCTGCCTCCGGGTATCGCGTGTAAGGGATTTTATTCCTCCTGCATGCTCCTGCTGCTTGTTGCTTGATTGCTTGACCCTTAGGCTGCTTGTCTGCGCGGCTTCGCGCTTGCTGGGGCTGGCGGTGCCGGGTCTGGGTGCCAGCAGTGCTGGTTCTTTTCGGGCTTGTGTTTTGTGTGTGATTGTGCAGCTTCTCGCTGTGCGCTGTGTGCCAGGAGGTTTAGCTTGATCCTGCTTTGCCAGTTTTGCTTGAGGCACTTTTTCCCTTCTGCCAGTCAATCCATTTGCCAGTAAATCCGTGTTTACGTTTTCCCCCATCGGAGTCGGAGACCTCCGGCGAAGACTCCCCCTCGGGCGACTCGACAAAGTCCGAGGAGGAGCTGTCCTCTGGCTCGAGAAGTGCTTGCGCCCGCAAGGGCGTCATGCGCCTCGCACCAGACAAGAGCGCCTCCAGCGTCAGCTGCATAGCCTTTATAGGATTTACTGGCAGAAGGTAAAAAGTGCCTCAAGCAAAACAAAGCAGGACACAAGCGGAACCGGCAGGCACACAGTCCACAGCGAGAAGCTGCACAAGCACACACAAAACACAAGCCCGAAAAGAACCATAGTGAGGCGCTGATAGGTGGCGGCGCGTTTGCGAGCCAGGACCTCAGCAGCAGGGCCGTCATCAGGCACGAAGTGCCGACCAAACGCCGCATCCTCAAGAGGCATCGAGCGCTGAGCAATGATGTCCGCGAGATACCAGATGAAGCGGAGGGTGTCAGGATGCAGGGTACCGTCCGTCGAGATGGCAAGAGGGATGAACGCTCGAGGAGGAGTAGTCATGGCATATGCAGCGCGATGTTTGCGAATCCTATACCTTCTCAGACGCTGCAACATGGAGGGCGTCGAGGTTGACCTCCCCCCACTTGGTCAGGTCGGCAGAGCTGCCAATGTACGCTCCAGCATTATGAACGAAGTCGTGCGCCTCAACGAAGAAGGTCGCCAGAGGATGCTTCTGGGCACGGAGAGATCTCGAGCTGTGAACGTCCAGGCTATGAGGAGAGGGCAGCGTCCGGGACATCGGCTGGTCAGAGTACCAAGCGAGGAAGCGAGCGATAGCCGTATAGTACGTACCGTACAGAACCACACATTGGTGGTCAGTCGGCTGCCTCCGGGTATCGCGTCTAAAGGATTTTATTCCTCCTGCATGCTCCTGCTGCTTGTTGCTTGATTGCTTGACCCTTAGGCTGCTTGTCTGCGCGGCTTCGCGCTTGGGCTGGCGATGCCGCGTCTGGGTGCCAGCAGTGCTGGTTCTTTTCGGGCTTGTGTTTTGTGTGTGTTTGTGCAGCTTCTCGCTGTGGACTGTGTACCTGCCGGTTCAGCTTGATCCTGCTTTGTTTTGCTTGAGGCACTTTTTACCTTCTGCCAGTAAATCCTATATACTCAGTAAACAGCGGGGTGTTTACCCTCAGAGGGCGTGAACTCGTCCCCTCCCCGACTATGCGGAAGCTCCCGCTTGAACCTCGCAAACTCGAGCAGGTCGGGATGCGCGGCGAGGTACTGCGAGGAAGGCCAGCGGTGGTATTTCTCAAGCGCCAGGTGGACAGAGAGGTCAAAGCGACGAATCTGTGATTGGACCCGCGGGAGAAACGGAGAAGACCCCTGGAGGAAGAAGCGCAGCTTCTGGCAGGTATAGGATTTACTGGCAGAAGGTAAAAAGTGCCTCAAGCAAAACAAAGCAGGATCAAGCTGAACCGGCAGGCACACAGTCCACAGCGAGAAGCTGCACAAACACACACAAAACACAAGCCCGAAAAGAACCAGCACTGCTGGCACCCAGACGCGGCATCGCCAGCCCAAGCGCGAAGCCGCGCAGACAAGCAGCCTAAGGGTCAAGCAATCAAGCAACAAGCAGCAGGAGCATGCAAGAGGAATAAAATCCCTTAGACGCCATACCCGGAGGCAGCCGACTGACCACTGTCAGTCGAGACGTCCGCTGCCGCCACAAAGCGGGCGGCCGCGGACGGAGAAAGGGCAGCCGCCGACAAGGAGCCGGCGTTGCCCGGGGGTCCGCCTGGGGCAGCGGACGGAGGGAGGCTGGACACATGAACACGGTACCGCTCGAGGTAGTCCTCCTCGCTAACCTCCGAGTCAGCGGTAGCCGAGTCAGCGGTAGCCGCCCGTGACGGCGGCGACGCCGCGGCAATGCCCAAGGACCGGCGTGACCCGACCGATGCCGGGGAGGAAGCAGGCGAGCTCGGACCAGCAGCAAGCACCCCAGTGGTTCACAGTGAGGGACGGAGACGCCTCGCCAGCTCCGCGCCGATCGTCGGGGCCACTCGAAGGGTTTCCCCCATCGGAGTCGGAGACCTCCGGCGAAGACTCCCCCTCGGGCGACTCGACAAAGTCCGAGGAGGAGCTGTCCTCTGGCTCGAGAAGTGCTTGCGCCCGCAAGGGCGTCATGCGCCTCGCACCAGACAAGAGCGCCTCCAGCGTCAGCTGCATAGTGAGGCGCTGATAGGTGGCGGCGCGTTTGCGAGCCAGGACCTCAGCAGCAGGTCCGTCATCAGGCACGAAGTGCCGACCAAACGCCGCATCCTCAAGAGGCATCGAGCCGCCGAGCTTCGAGAGCTCTTCGTTGAGGGATCCATCCGTGCCGATAGGCAGGCTGCCAAGTGTAATCCCGCCAGTGACGACCTCGAAGTGAAGAAGTTGAGTCTTGAGACGGCGCTTAAGGCTCTTCTTCAGCTGCGAGAGATCAGGGTGTTGATGCCAAGAGGGGATGTAAACTTTCGACTCGCGAGGTTGAATCTCTAGCTTCAGATCAGCCAACATGTACTTCTTCATAGCGGACGTAGCTGCAACGGCATAAACATCCAGCACGGTGGCGCCGACGATCGGCGCGGAGCTGGCCAAGCGTCTCCGTCCCTCACTGTGACGTCGGGTGCCTCCGGAGAGCTCGACACCACTGGGGTGCTTGCTGCTGGTCCGAGCTCGCCTGCTTCCTCCCCGGCATCGGTCGGGTCACGCCGGTCCTTGGGCATTGCTGCGGCGTCGCCGCCGTCACGGGCGGCTCCTTGTCGGCGGCTCAGCGGCCCTTTCTCCGTCCGCGGCCCGCCCGCTTTGTGGCGGCAGCGGGCGTCTCGACTGACAGTGGTCAGTCGGCTGCCTCCGGGTATCGCGTGTAAGGGATTTTCTTCCTCCTGCATGCTCCTGCTGCTTGTTGCTTGATTGCCTGACCCTTAGGCTGCTTGTCTGCGCGGCTTCGCGCTTGCTGGGGCTGGCGGTGCAGGGTCTGGGTGCCAGCAGTGCTGGTTCTTTTCGGGCTTGTGTTTTGTGTGTGATTGTGCAGCTTCTCGCTGTGTGCTGTGTGTTCCTGCTTTGTTTTGCTTGAGGCACTTTTTCCCTTCTGCCAGTAAATCCTCTCCAAGGGAGCATGCGCCCAGCCTCCATGTGTCCGCTGCCCCAGGCGGACCCCCGGGCCCTTTCTCCGTCCGCGGCCTCTGCGGCGGCGGAACGGCGTCGACTGACCGCGGTCACTCTCGCAGCTTGAGGCACTTTTTACATGATCTGCCAGTAAATCCGTATCCTGACACGCAAGGCAGCAAGACTCAACAGGCGCGGCTAGCACTGCTGGCAACGGGATCTGAGTTTTGCTCGCATAGCACACAGCAGCCCAGGTAGAGAGAGCCTCGGAGTCATATAGGATTTACTGGCAGAAGGTAAAAAGTGCCTCAAGCAAAACAAAGCAGGATCAAGCTAAACCTCCAGGCATACAGCGAACAGCGAGAAGCTGCACAATCACACACAAAACACAAGCCCGAAAAGAACCAGCACTGCTGGCAACTGTCAGCAGACCCGGCATCGCCAGCCCAAGCGCGAAGCCGCGCAGACAAGCAGCCGAAGTGTCAAGCAATCAAGCAACAAGCAGCAGGAGCAAGCAGGAGGAATAAAATCCCTTAGACGACTTAGACGCGATACCCGGAGGCAGCCGACTGACCACTGTCAGTCGAGACGTCCGCGGCTGCCGCCACAAAGCTGGCGGTCGCGGACGGAGAAAGGGCAGCCGCCGACAAGGAGCCGGCGTTGCCCGGGGGTCCGCCTGGGGCAGGCTGGACACAGGAACACAAACTACGGATTTACTGGCAGAAGGTAAAAAGTGCCTCAAGCAAAACAAAGCAGGAACAAGCTAAACCTCCTGCCGAGACCAACACCGCCCGTGACGGCGGCGACGCCGCGGCAATGCCCAAGGACCGGCGTGACCCGACCGATGCCGGGAGGAAGCAGGCGAGCTCGGACCAGCAGCAAGCACCGCAGTAGAGTTTGCCCAGTTTCCGTCCATCGCACGACTCTCACGCCACTGGGATGTTCGCGGCTGCTCCGAGCTCGCCTTCTTGCTGCCCCGGGTGACCGTCTACGGCGATAAGAACGATCATCGGATGTAACCATAGAGTTTTACTCGCCCCATTCAAGGCATAAGGCAGAAAGTGCCTCAAGCAGAAGCCAGTAGGAACCGTCCGCGGCAAGCGAGGGGACACGGAATTCAAGAGCCAGAGCTGCCATGGAAGAGGGTCTTTGTGAGTGGAAGGAGCAGATCTCTACAGAGAAGTTTGCTTGCATAAAACATGTTAGCAAGATGGTTCAAGTTCTCAGAGTCAAGTTAGATCAACAGGATTGTAAATTCCTAACACAAGATCAAGGGTCCCTAGTCATCTCCTCAGCTCACCAATTCTCTTCAGACTCTGGTGAGCTCTGGCGGTCCCGACTTCACTGCCGCCCTCACTCGATGCGCTGCTATATCGTTGAATTAACGGTATAGGATGGATGGTCGAGGCTTCGTGTGACGATTGCTGGAGGAGAGACGCGGTGAATTCAAGGAGGAGATGGTTCATTACAACCACGTAGATGCTTTCTGAAGCAAGCAAGACAGCTCCTACCAGCACACGAAGAAGCTGCAGGAGGGCATCGGTGAGTTTGCGTGCGTTAGTGAGAGAGCCTAAGGCTTCTTGTATGGAAACATCAGCCGCTCCAACTTCCTCTTGTACTGTAGGCGGTGGAACATGCTACTTCACGTCAGCCTTGTCTGAGTCGCTCTCCCTCCTCACCTTCCCAGCCGTCGCGCACTTGGGCGCTTGTTGGGATCCTTCGAAATGCATCGACGCAAAATTTTGGCGACCTGAAACAAACTTGTTGAAAGAGGAGAAGGAAAACAGCTGAAGGAGAAAACGAAGATGGGGAGGAAAAGGGAGGCAGCGGTCTAAAGGAGAAGAGAGCAGATAAGACCGAAGAGAGGAGGGCGGGAAATGGGTACCTGTGGATCTGCTGCTTGAACTCTCTTGAGGGCGTCGAGGATCTCTCGTCGCATCCCTGGCTCTCCTTCTCCCCTGCGTTTCTCTCAGACTTCTTCTCCTCCTTCTGTGCCTTCACCTCGTCTCAGCTCCTTGCCAGACGTCGCCAGTCCACAACTCGATGAGCGAGACGCCAAGGGAGTAGACGTCAGAGGCGAATGAAGCTCCTTCCTCCTCCACCTCTGGTGCTTGATACCCTGTGATCAACTCACTTCTCCTTCCCCTCCCTCTCTTTGTTTTTCTTTTTCCTCTCCTCTCTTTCCTTATCGTCTGCGTTCACCTGGAGTTCCTGCGTTCCAGTCTTTCGCCTGCTCTGAGAAGTTTGCTTCCCCAAAGTCGATCAGAATGACTCCCGGGCTCTTTCCCCTTCTCTTCTCCTGCAGCAGTGCGTTGCTTGGCTTCACGTCACAATGCACAATGTCTGCTCTTCTCAGCTCTGCTAGCCCCCAGCTGAGTTCGACCGCAAAGTGAAGTTTCCTCGCTCGCGGCATGACATACGCAAACACGTCGCCGTCTTCGTCGATGGTCACGTAGCGAGATCGGAGCCTCCTGCCGGTGTCTTTGCCATCGCAACGCAAGTTAGACCATGACTTTGAGCCTGCGAGAAGGTGAGAGAGCACGAGGAGAGAGGAGGAGAGGGGCGATGGAGGAGATGGAGGAGTCAAGGGCTCAGGGCCCACCCGAAATCTCTTTGTGCAGGTCGATACTTCCCGGAATGTGCTCAATGAGAAGATGAAGGTGAGCGGAGGGTCCAACGTCTTCATGAACGACATGATAGGAGATTGCGTAAATGTTGCAAACTCTTGACCTGCCGTCCAGTCATCATCTTCTCCACCTCCCATCTGGCAACCTGAGTTGCGAGTTGGTTCGTTTCTTTGCGCAGGCTCTCCAGCTTATCAGCTGAAAAATGAGCCACGTAAGGAGAGAAAGGAGAGGAGAAAAAGGGAGCAGAAACGACAGAAGCAGGAGCGGCAATGTTGGGAAAGCAGCAGGATGAAGAAATCAGAATGCAGCAGCAGCAGCAGCAGCAGCTCAGGATGATGATGATGAAGAAGAAGATCATAATCATGGAGATGGTGAAGAAGAATATTGAGGAAGAGGAGGAAGAGGAGGAGAAGGAGGAGGAGGAATTGGGAGAGGAGGATCAAGAGGAATTCGAATTGAAACCGCTTCGGCTTTGAAGCTCTTAAGTCGTTCGTTGAATTCTCTGTCGCTTGCCGTGATGGTTTTGATTGCGGCATTCTCAATCTGACCGAAGAGAACACACGAGGCGAGCTTGACGGTTCCAAAAGCGCCTTTCCCCAGCTGCTTGCCCCACTTAATGCTCTCGTGGTGGACGAAAGGAATCCCCTGCTCAAGCCTCAGACGCTGCCCAGCTCTGAGTCACCTCGACCTCTTCCATCAGCTCTCTCAAGGCATCCTCAACCCGTGACTTGGCCTCACCAACAGAGGTGGGAGGAGAGTCGTCCAGCTCCCGACACAGACTCGAGTCCTCAATGCTGTCGGCGCTCTCCTCGCCCTGCCGTCAACGTCAGGACGCGTCAGATCTGATCGTCTTCTCAATCACTTTGCAGGAATCTTCCTTGCCGTGTTGAGCTTCTTCATTCAGACTGTCGCCACAACTCGTTGAGTTTGCCTCACTTGCTTCATCTGCCTCGTTGCACTTCAAAGAAAGCTGGTCAAGTCTCTTTGCTGCATCAAGAATCTCATCTACACTAGATGTACAATTCTCCTTCTCTCCACAAAGACATTGACTCGGATCCGAGAAAGACTGGTCGATCTTGTTCGTCCTTTCTTGAAGAGCGATTCTTTTTAGAAAGAACATCTCAAATGCCTGCGTCGATGTCAGAACTCAAAAGCTTCTCCATATTTCTCTAATCTGTGACTATTTCCAATTCCTGGATTGGTCTGTCGCTGTCTGCCTGCCTGCCTGCCTGCCTGCCTGTCTATCTATCTATCTGCCTGCCTGCCTGTCTGTCTATCTATCTATCTGGCTGCCTGCCTGGCTGCCTGCCTGGCTGCCTGCCTGGCTGCCTGCCTGCCTGCCTGCCTGTCTGTCTACCATGTACTTCATCAGTCTCGCTCTGATTTGCTTTCTCTGCCGTTGCAATTTGTCGGGGAGTTCGAAGTGGTTGACTTATTGTTTCAGTCAACTGACTATATTTTATTCTCTCAGGCCTGCCTCAGGTCTATTTCTCTATTCTGAGGCGGGCGTGGGTCCATCAGTGTCAGAGAGCCTCACGCTCGGCTTCTTGTCGTCGCCTGGAGAGCCAGGAGAGCAGAGGAGGTTTGTCGAGGCTTCCGCGCTGCTAGAGGGTCAGAGGGAGGGGGAGCAGCAGCAGCCGACCTGATGCATCTTCACCCGGTGCAGCTCCATCCCAATGTCGTACATGAGCGACACCAGCAGCGTCTGCTCCCGCTCCTGCCTTCACTCTCAGCTCAACAAGCTCCGGCGGCCAGGCTGACCTGCGCCGCAATCTTGCGTCGCGTAGCTTTCGCTTGCTCCTCTTCGCGGAGCTGGAGATGAGACAAGTCAGTGAACAGCAAGAGAGAGGCAAGGTGAGAGGGAGGAGGAGAGGAAGCCACCTGCATCTCTTTGATTTGTTGCTGCAAGACTGCAGCTTGAGAACTGACGAGGAAAAAATATCAGCCGAAGAGAAGGAAAGCAGAAGGAAGCAGGAGGAGAGTGGCTTTTAGTACCTGTCAGCAGCAGCAAGTTGAAGCTCGTTCTTCATTCTCTTTGTCTCCGCCAACTCTTCATCCTTCAAGGAGTTCAGACGGTTTCATCACTGCCCACTGCTCACCTTTCGTGCTAGCAACCTCCTCTTGTCCGATAGATCTGCTTTGAGCTGCTGATTCTCCGCCAGCAGAAGGTCATCGCAGTTCTACCAGCAACAGATGAGAGGAGAAGGGGAGGAGCTTGTAGCAAGAGAAAGTTGTACCTGGTAAAATCTTTCTCCTGCATTTGAATTCGCCTTCAAAGTCTCGTCATTGCTCTTCCCGCCACAGGTCTCGATCACCTTGTCTTCTATGGCTCGCGCTCGCTGCTCAGCTTCCCACGTCAACTTCTCGGCTTCGAAGATCTACACGAGGCTGAGGAGAGACGAGCGAGAGACTTGTCTTGCCTTCCTCGCTAACGTCATGTTCTCATCCGACAGGTTCTTCTTGCTGCTGACTAGCGCGTTCTTTTCTTCCACGTGTCTGCAGCACAAGACAAGTCATGGAAGGAAGGAGGGGGGAGAGGGGGAAGGGAGGGAGGGAGGGAGGGAGGGAGGGAGGGAGGGAGGGAGGGAGGAGGAGGGAGGGAGGGAGGGAGGGAGGGAGGGAGGGAGGGAGGGAGGGAGGGAGGGAGGGAGGCAGGGAGGGAGGGAGGGGGAAGGAGGAAATCAGTTTTCTCACCTTGCTATCTCCTCCCCCATCTTCTCGTTGCTCGCAAGCGACTCCAAATGCTCCGATCTCAGTCTGACCAGGCGTGACTCTCAAGCACACATGCCCTCGAATTACCTCTGCACCTCCAGCTCGAGCTGATCCCTCATGTCGGCCTGAAAAGCATCAGGTTCTGCTGTCAGCCTTGTCTTCTCCTCCTTTCTCACCTTCACTCCGGCATGCGCCTTTAGAGTCGCTACCTCATCCTGTAAAGTTGCCTTGTCCTGTTCAAGTCGCTGGATGGTCTCTCTGCAGACCTTCACCTCAGCTTCTCTCTGCATCGTCAACGTCATCCCAGCACCAACTTTCAGTCAGACACCTTGGCTGCCTCCCCCCCCCCGCTCAGATCCCCTGCCATCATCCCAACTCGCAGCTGCCGATTCTCCCTGAAGGTTGTGAGGCGTGCATGGATGGAATGCATGATGTCACATGGAGAGCCTTGCGATCGCTCGTCTCATCTCCGCGTCTCCTCCTGTCCATTGTCAGCCCGTTGCTTCACTCGCGCTCTTCTACCTCCTAGACTAGACGCAGTCACTCCTTCCTCCGCGTCGTCGGCATTTAGCGCCATGTCTCTCTCCGCCTGTTCCATTCCTCATCCCCTGCCTTACCGAATGCGAATGCCAACCTTGACGCGCTCCAGCTCGGATCGAGCTGACCGGAGCTGCATGAGGGCATCCTGATGCTCCAACTCCAGGTTTGCATACTTGACCTTGTCGATAGTGAGCAGGGAAGGGAGGGAGGGAGGGAGGGAGGGAGGGAGGGAGGGAGGGAGGGAAGGAGGGAGGGAGGGAGGGAGGGAGGGAGTGCATTCAGGGAGGGGGGGGAGAGAGAGGGAGGGGAGGGGCGGGGGTTAGATGGAAAGGGGGGGGCGGGG